TCTGGGATTGGGAGGGTAGTTACACACCACTTTTGAGCTGGTCTTAGCCGCATCCGAAAGGGTGGCGCCAATAAGGTTGGCCACGCGAGTTGAAGCTGCAATCGAGATTGAGAATGGAATTTGGAAAGTCAAAGCGGTCATGGTAGTGAGAACACTTTGAGCTGCAAGGTGCGTTACGGAGAAGTAACTTGATGCTAAAGTTAGAACCTCAAATGCTAAGTACTCTGCTAATACCATTACGAGACCAGGGAGAGCGAGCTTGATCATTGGACCTGGTTTCTGTTAGAAAATGATGAGAATGACGCAATTCAGAACTAACCCCAGTTGTGGAATGCTCTCCATGTGAATCCATCCCAGCATTCTTTTCCGTCCACGAATCGAACGTAGAGAAATAGGAAAAGAGGTAAAAGATTATCTGTCACAGCAACGGCGATTGGAGCTCCAATAAATCCCCACTCAAATTGCCAAACAAATAGCCAATTCATGAAAGCATTGAGAGGTGCGCAAATAAGCAAAACATAGGTTGTGGCGGAAAACAATCCTTGCGCCTGTACAAATCGTTTTGCACCTTCGAAAAGTGCAAACCCAGGAGCTCCAAGCAGTAGAACTCGTAGATACAGTCCTGCCAGTTCTGCCGAACGTTTCTCGGGCACAATAGTTTCCAAGATCTTTTCAGCACTCAACCAGACTATTCCAATTGGTATGGTCAAGACCCAGAGAAACCATACCATTCTCTGCAACTGCAGCCCAACCAGACCCTTTCTACCAGATCCGTATGCTTGTGCACAAAGCGTATCCAAACTTGTAGCCAATCCTTGATAGATAGCGTACCCAGTAATGTTCGCAGTCATACTAGCTAAACTAACAGCGCCCAGTTCTACTTTACCAAGATGCCCTACTGTGAATATACTTGCAACAGTAAGGGAGTATTGGAGGACGAAAGTCACCACTAATGGACTCGAGTATCTTAATAATGTTTTCGCCTCTCTTTGCCATGTTGTTTTGATCTTTCCTGCGGCTACAGCTTCTTCCCACTGTCTATTTAATCTCTCGTGACGCGAACGCGCAGACTCATGCTGTCCGTTTGGCAGCAATGCTGACGTTTCCGAGGGCGCTCCAGCCTCTTCATCTCCCATTGGCTTTGGTATTTTTGTGCTAAACAGTTTCCTGTATAATCGGTTGAAAGCGCTTCGCTTCGCCGGCTCGGGATGCTTCGGCGGAGCTAGATGATTGTCTCTCAATAAACTCCTTTCCTCATTTCTTGTTTCGTGTCTTTCCTTCTTAGTCAACCATGCTGTTTCTTTGAATTGAGGGGTAACGGCAGGACGAGTGCCACCGAATGCCACAAAACTTGGCCGTCGATACGAATGCGTCATTGAATGTTGAGCCTCCGATTGTCGAATTGTAGAAGCCTCTGAAGACTCATCTCCAGAGCTGGTGCATTCAATGTGTTCTGGTGCTTCTACCTCATCTGCGGGGTATTCTGCTAAATCGCGCGCAAGAGATTCTTGAGCTATGGGCGAGCTAGATATGAATGAAGTGCTGAAAGGAGATCTAGAGATTGAATCTCGTAGATGCCCCTCATCACTAGATTTGATCGGTACTGGAAAAGAAGACGACATTGTTGCACAATGGTATATTCCTTATCAATGTCGAGTGTTCCAAGAGATTATTAATTATGTTTGATGAGAGCGAGCTGCAATTCTGACTCTTCCTTTCTCTCACTTCTCAATAAAAGGAGTCACACATTAATTGACGCAATGCATGCAATGACGGTCCTACCATGATCCTCGCTCAGGAACAACAAATGAATAAGGAAAAGAAAAGAAGAAAATCAAGCATATAAAAAAACCAAGCAGAGGTCAATTGCAAATCGAATGAGAGATCACTCACCGTCCATGCCAACCCAGTAAGATGCTAGGCCTTCTCGCTGTCTTTTCGTCTATACGGAGTAATAAAAGGACGCCATTGCCATTCCAAGCTCGTGGGTCCGTTTTGATCTTCCTGCTTACCGGTCCCTAGTATCTAGTATGCTGATAATGGTTGCGCGGGAACGGCTAGCACCCCCACCATAGGTAATGTTTTACACTCAGTCCACTATGCTTGTATGTATGTCCTCTACATGCAAAAGCGTTTTCTCATTCAATAGTTAGTTCCAATGGGAATGTCTGAAATGGCAGTGGAAAATCAGGACCCTTACCCAATCAAGGAACGTCCGATATTCCGATTTAAAGCCAAAATGGAAATTTGAAACTTTTTATTCTTTCTTATGCTATACGAGTAAAAGTAACACCCACTAATATCAAATGGAGAGAGAGGTCTGACTTTCCATCGCCATTTCAGACACTCCCGTTCCAATGACTGTAACTGATACTCACTAGGCCCTGATAGGCAGGTGTTTCCTTCAGAGCATCATAAATCTCGGAAAACATCTCTTGGGGTAGAGCGATATCCGAACGCCGATTCCGATAAGATCTAGTGAGAAGATAGCAAAAGGCAAAAGTGGATGGATGATATTCTGTACGTGATGAAACAATGAGATAATGTGATTTGTCAAAAGAATGAAAAGAGCCAGCCACCAAAAGCATAGAGGGTTCCTGTGATTATCCGAATAATCGGAACGGATTAATAATAGAGCGAGTCCCACGTTCGATCATTCGGTGACCCGCCCTTCTGCTGCACCAACATTAAAGTCCGGGGTATCGTTCCGGTGAAGCTTAAGCTTTAATAAGTGACGAAAGGAAAGGCACTTCGACAAAGGAATGATGAATACCTATTCCAAGCCTACCTAGTAGTAACACCCAATTGGTACCCAATCTTCACTCTCTTATTCTTAAAGACCAATCTGTTCTTACAATGCCTCACAGTCAAGAGGAAGAACGTCAAGGCTCTCAGCGGGAAATATACTCGCCAATCTATTTCCCTCGTCGTCCAGCACCTGTTGATGTCGCCGAGTATGTTTCAATGTGTCTTTCCGTGAATCCCGCGTCTCAAATACCATCCACCTCATATTCCCTTTCACCAACTTCTTCACATTCCGTTGAAGAGAACTGATGAACTTTCTCTAGTTACCACGGCGAATCGGTGTTTTGCACTCCACCTCTTTTCGGTCCTCTCCTTTTCGATAATGTGGACTCCGACTGTCGCGACCACTGTGCTAATGAGCGAACGTTTCTCTCCTACCTCCGCCTTTCCATTTACATGACTATCGTGTCCCTCGCCATAGTCCTTTCTTTTCATTTGAAATCTACTCCTACCCAGCTCGAACTGCGCATGGCACAACCTCTGGGCATAATCTTTTGGGTACTGTCTCTTCTTTGCTTGGCCTTAGGATTTGGGAACTATATGAAGACGGTCAATAAATATAGTCGGAGAGTGGCTATTGTACAGAGTGGTTGGAAGACTCAAGGGGTGAGTGGTACAATTTCTCATCTTTTCCTTTTTATGGGGTGGGTGTTTTGGGAGAAATTTGTTTTCTGAATTCCATTGTGACTGCAGCGTGTCTATCAAGAGAGAAATTCCAAGTACTTCTGCGCAGATTGGGAGAGATCTCAATTGCTGATGCGCCGGTACCCAAGGATGCATAATGCTCTATTAGTCTTCACAATGGACGATGAATTCCCATGGATTAGCTAATTTTAAACATATGTAGGTTCTTTCAACAGTTGCAGTCTCAATAATAGCAGTTTGTGTTTTGTTTTTGGCAACAAGTTCAAAAAGATCCTAGTATGAGGAACCGAAATATCAGAGTTTACAAAGATATTACACGATTTAAGCCTCCCACGCATGCGTACAGCGCTCTTAAGTCATTGTATTTATTTGCATGAGCTATACCAGCATGGAACCCAACAAATTATTGCATAATATTCCGGATTCGACTTTTTGACTTCACTCCTCTCCGGATGACTTGGTCATATTTGTTTATAGACTTCAAAGTGTGACCAAGTAGCATCCCGAAGCGTCCGCTGGGATCAAGAGTTGCATCACGGGTGTCCTATAGAGGATAAATTTTTGTATGATGAAGTAGAAGTAGCCGATTACTTGGTAGTATTCAGACGGGTTTGAAGAAATCAAAGATGTGATGAAACTAAGTTTTGAGTGTGCAGAATTAGCAGAAAGACGGAAGGGAATTGACAATCTCCGGAGACTTTGGATTACTATTTCGGAAAGTTCGAGTCTTTAACAATGACTAGTGACAGCCGGTGGTTGGTTCGCAGATGCCTGATAATTGACTGATGATAACTTTACTTTGGTGACTACGCAGCTAAAATTTATGGCTGTATCACATATAAGATATTCTCGCACATTATACAACATCCAGTCTATTTTCATTCTCTTGACGAATCAGCACTTCTACTCTGACGTTTTCTTGTGAATACTTGTACCTTGAGCCCCCTGATACTAGTACACAACTCTGGGAAACCATACCGGGAATTTACTTGGAGCATACTCTAACAATTGAACGGAGCGTGAAGGCACTCACCGATAGCAAGATGTACTTGCCGGCAGCAGGTATCCAACTAGAGTCTACAGTACTTGGTCTTTAGTTCAGTGGATTGCCAGCTAGGTGTAGGAATAGTTCGCTTGTTTCTATTATATTGCATTGTTGAATTGGTGGTAGAATTGGGTTTCCCTTCATACTTTCGATTGATTTGGGATAATCGATCTCACTCAGCATCGGAGCAGATCTCAAAATCCAGCGGTTTTGTGAGCAGTCGTTCCTTCCGCTCACTATATCTCTATGTTCACGATTGCTGCAACTCAGCAGAGGAGGAAAGCGCGAGTAAACACACTTCATATCCATATCATCTCAGATTGTTGATTTTCTCTTCTTTTCCTCAAATAAACAAACTCCATTTTGCTACGAGGAGATTTTGATCACAACTTGCTTCCAATTTTGCTTGCTTGCTTGCTTCATTTTGCTTTTTGCTTTTTGCTTTTTGATTTTCTGGTCCGATACAGACATCGGTCGTATTCTGTGACGTTTTCGATTTCTCAAAATGGGATTCCATATCCTTTTTTCCATATTCCTAACGTTCCAGTTCAATAGATTGGCCTCATCCATACGCCTTGGACATCGTGATCTCAATGCAGACTTTTTGCCATGCTACGATTATATCATTGCTGGAGGTGGTATTTCTGGACTCGTCCTTGCTAACAGATTGTCTGAGGACCCCGAGGTGACGGTGCTGGTTATTGAAGCTGGTAATCTGTAAGTATTTTCCACCAATGTTGCTTGCCATTGCTAACATAGATCAAGGGACAATGACGAAGACTTCATCAAGTATCCTTTTGACGATGGAGAGGGTCTGGGCTCAAGTTATGACTGGAACCTTTGGACTGCCCCTCAAACATCTCTTGATGGCTCTTCTCGACCAATGGATTTAGGGAAAGGCGTTGGCGGTGGCAGTCTCATCAATGGCATGTGCTGGACTAGAGGTGGAAGTGCCGATTATGATGCATGGGTAGCTCTTGGAAATCCTGGGTGGGGATGGAACGATCTTTTACCTTATTTCAAAAGAGTAAGAACACATCAACTTCCCTTTGAACGCAAGCTAACCGCATGCCAATCAGACTGAGAACTACACCAACGATGTCGATGCTGCGTTTGCTCATGAACTCTATGTTTACCCAGATGCTTCGACGCACGGTACGACTGGATATATCGATGTCTCCTACCCGAAATACTTCTATCCTCAATCTAGTTAGTTATCTAGTTTTCCCTGTCTGTGTGAAGTACAACAATCTAACAAATAATCAGAATTGTTTCTGGATGGACTGCGAGAGCTTGGGATTCCTACTTTACTCGACCCAAATAATGGCACAACTGCTGGCGGAATGTTGATTCCGAATAATCTTTCACCAGATAGCCAAACACGTTCTGATGCAAGACGAGGTTATTATGATGGTTTTATAAACCGCCCAAATCTACACCTTGCCACAGGTCTAGTCGTCATTCGAGTATTGATGGGCCCCGCCCTTTCAGAAGTATTTGCACGAGACCTTCCCGCTGGTCAATGGATCACTGGTATCCAAGTGAGTAAATCATGTTCATTGTGGTAGTCTGAAGATATCCATTAATATCTATTAGATTGCACCTTCTCTGAGTACTGTCGTACGCGAAATTTCATGTTCACGAGAAGTCATACTTGCAGCAGGAAGTATTCACACCCCTCAAATACTTGAGCTGTCTGGAATCGGCCAGCCATATATCCTAGAGCAGCTCGGCTTGCCAGTACACATTGATTTGGCAGGAGTAGGAGAGAATTTCCAAGATCATCCCTACGTTGGTGCCGTCTACTATTGCAAGTACACTTTTTTTTCTTGCCGGCATCTCTAACAGTGCTAGACACCAACTCTAGTTACCCAACCATTGTACAGATAGACAACAATCCACAACTTCTTACACAAGCAGAGCAGGAATACTACGTCAACAAGACTGGTGGGGTTATTCGACCTCATTTTGAGATTAATACTAACGAATGCAGGGCCCTGGACTGCTGGAGCAATCAACACAGTCGCATTCCCATCACTATCGCAAGTTACTTCAAATTGGGCCAATATGCTATCTGATGCAGAGAACCAAGGGGTAACAGACTACTTAGTACCAGGTCTAGATGCAAGTGTTCTCTCAGGATATGCTGCACAAAAAGACCTCATTGTCGAGCTTCTCAACCGTTCGGATGTAAGTGCTTATGAGCTTCTCAACGATAATGTGGGGCTTATGTCTGTTGCTGCAATGCATCCTCTCTCTAGAGGCAGCGTTCATATTACAACGGACAATCCATATGTGCCACCAGATATTGACCCACGCTACTGCTCAAACCCACTCGATCTTCAAATATTAATGGACGCCCTTATGTTCAACAACAGGATTATAAATACGAATCCTATGAAGTTGTTGCAGCCAAGACCTTACTACCCATTTCTTCCCAATGCTACGCCAGAAACCTTGATACCTGCAATTAAATCTGGTTTACGAACAGAGTTCCACGGCTCCGGCTCAACCTCGATGATGCCACGCGAAATGGGCGGTGTTGTCGATCCCGACCTGCGTGTTTACGGAACCAAAAACCTTAGAATTGTAGATGCTGGTATCATACCAATGCTTCCTGCCTCTCATCTACAAGCACCTGTTTATGCTATAGCGGAAAAGGTATTATGCTTTTCCATCAACTGTCTTGTTCTGTGCTGACGCAGTGCTAGGCTGCCGACACCATAAAGCGCGACAACTATGGTTTATCTCCTAAAGGATGTGGAAAAGGTTCTTCTTTTGCACGTCCTGGTCCAGTCTTATCAAGTTTGTCGATAAATTCTTTGAAGTTATCCGTCTCAAATCCACTACCCAGTGCCACGACCCCACAAGCTGTGAAGTCATCATCTCTAGCACCACTTCCTCCTCTACCGTCCTTGCAAATGATATCTCCTCCAGCAGGATTCCTTATCCCTGGATCACAAGTAGAGAACATTTCCACTCCACCTGTTCCTAACTTAGGAGGTCCGGCTCTCAGCGCTTCAGCGGTGTTTCCTGTTTTACAGGGCTGGAACAATTCTTCACATTCTCTTGTCCATGAAATGGGAACTACTGCAGTTGGAACACCAGTAAGAAACTCCATAGCTCAATCGACAGCCATGACTCTATCGCTTGGCGCCGACATTGGGAGCCCGGCCCTTAGAAATGGTTCTGATAGTGCTTTTATATCGTCTGAAATTACCACGATACATGGTGCTCCCCTTCTCACACCAGGTACACAGACTTATGTAGCTACATCTATTGTACCGACATCCACTTTGCAGACCGGATCCACTTCCCAGCTTCTATCTTCAAGCGAAGGAACTCAATCAACGATGATCAGCCAGGGGGCTCTTACTCTCACAGCACCGGTCATAGCAGCCTCCGCGTCCCCATCACCTGTTTCACCACCAACTACTGTTCAGACTACGCAAACTACTCCACAATCTGAAGCAAGTCAAACCTCTAAACCCTTCACCACCGGCCAGAACGCATTGGCAGATGTGGCAGCTGTATTTGGGACAAAGTTTGAACAGGTAGCTTCAACTATTGTTTCTATTCCTATAGCAGGTACAAATATACCAGGACCCACAATTACATCACCTGTTTCTGTCCTCGATATACTTCCGGCACCACCATTAATGTTCAAAACTTTGGAGAGCTCTGCTTTCCATAGTGTAGCATCAATGCTGGAGGACAAGTATGCAACTGTATCAACCGAGCCACTAGGCGGCTGAATGCAACCGAATCACGATTAAATTTTTTGGTGTTGCAACGAGATTCTATGGTGAAGATTTTATGTGATTCGAGGATATTGGAATGTACTGAAGGGAAGAGTTGTAGTTTCTAGAAGTTTTGGGAGGTAGTATTTGCAAAACTAATTTTGAACCTGTCACCTTTCATTAGACATAGAAGTTGCTTCTCATTGTAATTAGAATTATAGTTGTCAAATAAACATAGTATTTGATTAAGAAACTCTGTGCCACTTATGATCTGCAACAACTTGCTGATACTCATTTTGATATGTGTGAGGCGTGAAAATTTGCCTACGACTCTAGATGTACTTTAGATTACTGAACACCTTCTAATTCAAAGTCTTTCCGTTAACTCCATTATCTTACATCGTCGTTTCGGCAGAGAACTCGAGGTTTTCAAAACCCGAATAAGGACATCTCCAGTCCAATTTCGGCCGTAGTTACATAGTTCTAAAGGAGACAATAATTAGCTAACCTTCAAAACTGGTAACCTTTTTGATAAGGGTTACTGGGTTAATCGTACCTAATTCGTTAACTTGCCTGCAATTCTTCACAGCTTCGGCTCCGCTTGGGTAGATTCATATTCCTTCATGTCGCACAACTAAAGGCATGAGTTATACTTCTGACATTTATGAAGGCGCACACGGCGACAGATATGTTCTTGAGGTGAATTTACGGGTCATGGTAGTTGGGAATCAATGTATCATCATTGAGGACCTCGGAAAGAGAGGTTGTATTTAATTGTATCCGACGCATTTATGTCTGCGGGAGACGAGCGCAATGGTGAGATGGGAAGGAAGCATGTGGATGTGCGATGAAGTTGCAGATGTCTTATTGTCTGTGGATTATATTATATGTATGCTTATGCTTGGTTGATTCATTCTGTGATCGTAACAGATTCTGCGAGGTGATTTCGGTCGTAATGTTGCGATTCTCACAAGATGTACATGAGGTTTATCGCATATCATTTCAGCCAATCGGACAAGAGAAAATGACATTTCAGGACACACCGCCCGGCAGAATTAGGATGGATCTTTCGAAACTCATCTCATTATTCTGGTCAATACTTAGATCAATACATATGATTTTATATCTTGAATTGTTACCACATACAAAAACTGATGTTTTTCTGGAAGCCGTGGTCCGTCATACTTTGGAGTTATACAGATGACATTTTGATTCGATTCTAAATACTTCATTGTTTCATCACCAACCCTGGTCTTGAATTCGAAATGCTGCCTGCTACTTACACCTGACATCAAGTTAAATGCAAATCTATATCAGCCATTAAATCAAAAAGAAAAAAGAAACCCAGAATGTCTGAGCCCATGGATATGGACTCAAGTACCGAAATATCAAGAGGTACAAAAAGAAAAGCCGAGAATGAACTCCCAGAAGTTACTGCCCCTAGACGTATCAAGGTGAGTTTAAGGAACTTACTTAACACCAATCTCTAAACCCTAAGTATTGTCTAGGCATTGGATCCCGATGTAGTCAATAAGATTGCCGCAGGCGAGATCATTGTAGCTCCAGTGCATGCTTTGAAGGAACTCATTGAAAATGCCGTTGATGCAGGCTCAACATCCCTGGAGGTGCTGGTCAAAGATGGTGGTTTGAAGTTATTGCAAATCACTGACAATGGACATGGAATTAATGTACGTATCAATTTACGTCCTAAAATACCTTTGCGTACAAGCTAAGTGTTGATAGAAAGAAGACATGGCAATTCTATGTGAACGTTTCACCACTTCCAAGCTCAAGCAATTTGAAGACTTGACATCGATTGGAACGTATGGTTTTCGTGGAGAAGCTTTGGCTAGTATCAGTCACATTGCACATCTCACCGTCACGACAAGGACGAAAGATTCGAATTGTGCTTTTAGAGCACATTATGATAGTGGACGTTTGATACCCGCAAAGCCTGGTCAGGGTTCTGATCCAAAGCCCATTGCTGGTCGTCTTGGTACGCAAATCACGGTGGAAGATCTCTTCTATAATGTTCCTACTCGTCGTCGTGCTTTCCGATCAGCATCGGAAGAGTATAACAAAATACTTGACGTTGTTGGTAGATATGCCATCCATTGTAAGGGGGTCGCGTTCAGCTGTAAGAAACATGGAGAGGCTAGCACCACAATCTCAACACAGATGGCTTCTTCCACTGTAGATCGTATTCGACAAATTCATGGCAGTGGAGTAGCAAATGAGCTGATTGAGTTTAAGTCTGCTGATTCGCAATGGGGGTTTACTGCACAAGGATGGACGACTAATGCAAATTATCATGTCAAGAAGACAACGTTACTTTTATTCATCAACCATCGATCAGTCGAGTCAACGGCAATCAAAAAAGCTATCGAGCAAACTTATTCCGCCTTCCTCCCCAAAGGTGGACATCCTTTCACATACCTCAACCTTGAGATCGAACCCCATCGGTTAGATGTTAATATTCACCCCACGAAGCGTGAGGTCAACTTCCTCAACGAAGAAGAGATTATTGAGAAAATTTGCAATGATATTCGAATGAAACTTGCCGACGTGGATAAAAGTCGAAACTTCATGACCCAAACCCTCCTTCCCGGAGCTCAAGCGCCACTAGTAGCCGACATGCTGGATCCTGCCGCGTTCGCCGCTGCAGACAAAGCCCGAACCACCACTAGACCATACGAAAATAACCTCGTTCGCACAGATGCCAAACTCCGTAAGATTACCACTATGCTGCCACCCACTACCAACCCTACAACAACCGCCAACAGAGAAGCTACCCCAAATCCTTCCGGGGGCACCATAGCATCGAACTCCCAAGATATAGAATACACTCACTCTGACCGCGAACCAATCATATGTCGCCTTATGACTATCAAAGAGCTCCGCACCTCTGTCCGAGACTCCATGCATAACGAGTTGACAGAGATCTTCGCCAGCCACACCTTTGTTGGTATAGTCGATGAGCGTCGTCGTCTTGCTGCCGTACAGTCTGGTGTAAAGCTCTTCCTCGTCGATTACGCCGCTACATCTGCTGCTTTCTTCTATCAAATTGGCCTCACCGACTTTGGAAACTTTGGAGAAATCCGTTTCAATCCCCCCTTATCCCTCACTTCTCTCCTGACTCTCGCAGCCACCCACGAAAAAGCCACTCAACCCCCAAATACATCCCCAGAAGATGATTTCGAAGTTGAAGATCTGGTCGAGATCGTCTCGGAACAACTCATCTCCCGCCGCGAAATGTTGCAAGAATATTTCTCTCTCTCCATCACCCCCGATGGTCTTCTCGAGGGAATTCCCCTCCTCCTCAAAAATTACACTCCCGCTCTATCTAAACTCCCGCAATTTCTCCTCCGTCTAGGTCCGCATGTAAATTGGAATGATGAGAAAGAATGTTTCTCCTCCTTCCTACAGGAATTAGCTAGATTTTACGTCCCGGAACAATTGCCTTCATCGCCCGGTCCCGAACGACGAGAAGAGGATCAAAATCAGGATGGCAACGAAACACAATATCAAACAGCATCCATCTCTCCCGAGCTCAAACAACGCAGAGATGCAGTAAGAAAAATGGTCGAAGATGTACTATTCCCAGCTTTCCGCTCCAGATTACTCGCAACGAGAGAGTTGATGGGGGGCGCGGTGCTCGAGGTCGCGAATTTGAAGGGCTTGTATCGAGTTTTTGAACGGTGCTAGGTAGAGGTTTTGCAATGTCACTGTGGGGAGATCGGAACAGTGAGGAATGTATGTGTACGAGGGGTGGATTTCGCCGTATTGTGTTGTATTGTATATCTTGGAATGGGATGGGATGATGGAACAAGATGGAGGGGCATTAAATATCTTTGCATTGCATATTGCATGTGTGACCTACTGGCTAGATTGAGAATATATCCAAGTACTGTATTTATGGGATTAATAGCATAAATATGTACACACATAGCATCGAATAGCATGTTAGAAAGAGGCAGCCAAGTCGAGCTTAGCAATTGCATTATCTCGCTTTTTTAGGATGAGGATGGGGATGGGGAAGTTCATAGTAGACATCATGATAGCCGAGATAGCAAGTACAATACGATATTCTGCGCATCATTGAAATATATTTCTTTCATCTGAGTGAGTGTCGTGGGGTGAAATACTATCTTTTGGCTTCTGGTGAAATTATTGTGTCCTGACTCTGATCTCTAGATACGATGGTGTTCATTCGTTCCGATGATTGTGAAGCGCTCATGACAAATAGTGTAATGCCTACCTGGCTACCTCCCGACCTATATTTCCTCACACACACTCGCTGAAGAGCGCATTATAACGACACCACATCACAGCACTATACCAAGAATCTTAATTTCATCAACCTAATAGCACTGCAAATCATCTATCATCTATCATTTTTCATTTTTTTCATTTTCATTGCGTAGTTGTCCCACATCTCCCCTTCATTCAAGGGAACATGATATGCATGTGTACCTACTATAGCTCCTCCCTCCGCGCTCCATTATAATACAATAGTTTAATAATCCTTTCATTCGCCATCTCTCAACACTCTAGCTTTTTCCATCTTCCCACTCTGGGTTCTATTTTAATATTAGCATTGATCAACTTGATATATATATGCAGGAATCTATATGGATTCAAAACATACCTTTCTCAAAATGACAAGACCTTCCAGATTACTGCTCAAACTAATATATTGTTCGTCTTCCAACTCCGCTCTCTCGCCATATGCCAAAAGTACAGGGGTGCTCTGTGTTTGCCAACCAGTGATAGTCTTAGGACGACCAGCTTGTCCTACAACATCAACGGCTTGTCCAACTCGAACATTGACTGTTAATGGCTTGAGATCTTCGTCAAGAGTGACGAGGAATCTAGGGTGCATGGCTGTAACGAGGTAGTATAGGAGGTAATGTGATTTGGTAGTGACGAATTGCTTGGCATCGATCATAGCAACCAAGACGGAAAGAAGACCACCGGCTGCTACTCTCGACAGTACTTGGCGATCGGTGTGGAAT